TCCAGGGTTTTTCCTTTTTGGGGTCTAGATCCCATCCTTATCATTATGACATGGAATTAAGAGACATAGTGTTCTGAATGAGAGAGGGAATAGGTCTGTAGTACTCTGTCCTGGAGAGACCACAACTAGACCTCAGATTCATATTTCAGTATCGAATTTTAGGAAGTACAAAAGGGAGCATAGAAAGGTGACCAGTTACCAAAAGTCACATAGGAGCCATTGGCAGAGTGGGAACTGGAGACCATGGAATATGAGAATTGCTGAAAGGAGCTAGCAGTCTTTATCATGGACAAGAGAAATCTTAGAAAGATTTTATATTGATCTTCAAGTATTTGAAAGACTATCAGATTAAAGAAGAGTAAGTCTTGTTCTGCTTATCCTTTTAGATCAAAGTCAGAAGCTATAGGTGGAAATTGTAGAAAGGCAGATCTAATCAAAATGTAAGGAAAAACTTCGGAATAATTAGAGCTGCCCAGAAGCAGACTGGGCTGTCTCAGAAGGTAGTACACGTCTCCCTCAATGAGAGTCTTTTAGTAGAAGCAAGATCACCACAAATCAGGTACAGCACCCACTCCAGGCTTGGTGCGGCACGTATTAGTTGGAGTGACTCCTGGTTGACTGAGAGACCTCTGCAACCACAATGCTGACATATATATGATATGGTACATATACAGTGGACCACAATGCTGACACACTTATGGTATGGTGTATATATATATGGTGGTATCCTTGTATATCCTTGGACAAACTCTCTCTAGATCACAGTTTCCTCATTTGTCAAATGAAGATTATTGTCTCTAAGGTTCCTTTTAGCTCAAAATCATTTGTAAACTTCATCATTCAGTCATTTCAGTCATGTTTGACTCTTTGTGACCCCATTTTTGGTGTTTTCTTGGCAAAGATACTGGAGTGTTTTGCAATTTCCTTCTCTAGTTCACTTTCCAAATAGGGAAACTGAGTCAAACAGGGTTAAGTAACTTGCCCAGGATCACAAAGCTAATAAATGTCTGAGGCCAGATTTGAACTCAGTAAGATGAGTCTTCCTGACTCCAGGTCCAGAACTCTATCCACTGTGCCACCAAGCTGCCCCATTTGAAAACGTCTCCTCCTTTAAAGCTCTACCAAGGTGTCACTTCTTCCAAGAACTCTTCCCTGACTCCTCAAGCTGACATCTCCCTTCTTAAATCTTCCCAGACTATAATGTCTAGATCTTTCTTTTGCTCCTCTTACGTTCTGCCTTGTATTGCTACTCTATCTACATTTTGTATCCCCCAATAAGATAGTCAGCCCCTTGAAGACAGGGACTATGTCATATTATTTATATTTATAATCTATTTTTGGTGGGTGGAGCCAAGATGGTGGAGTAAAAGCAGTGACTTGCTTGAGCTCTCCCCCAAACCCCTCCAAATACCTGTAAAAAATGGCTCTAAACAAATTCTAAAGCAGCAGAACCCACAAAAAGATAGAGTGAAACAAATTTCCAGCCCAAGACAACCTGGATGGTTGATTGGAAAGGTCTATGGCGCCAGGCTGGGAGAGGAGCACAGTTTGGCGTGGGCAAGCAGGCCTCAGAGGACTGAATCACAGGCAGCTGTGGCAGATTCCAGACTTCTCAACCCATGAATGCCAAAGACAACTTAGAAGGTCAGTAGGAAAAGTTTATGTTTGCGGTGAGAGAGAAGCCCCAGTCCCCGAGCTCAGCCCCGGGGTGGCGGCTGCCTCCTGAGCTTCTTGCCCACAGACTGAGGGGGAGTCAAGTGGCTGATCAGAGGGGGATTGCAGGGGTCTCTCTACTGGTGCAGGAATCTCTTGCTTTGCCCATGCTTGGATCTGGGTCACAGTTCTGGGTGGTGGTCCTGGGGCAAGGAGGAGCGCTGGTGTGGTGGAGCTTGTAGTGGCAGTGGAGAGAGAATCCTCCTCACAGTTCCAAGACAGAAAAGAGTGCTTATGGTCACTCATAGACCAGAGCATGGGCCAGGAAAGGAGTAAACACCTCACCCTTGATCATAGCACCTTGGAAGAACTGAAAATTTACAGGTCCTTAGAAGTATCTCTAAAAACAGGTTGCACAAAACCCCTGAAGCTTGGGACAGTACATTCTCCACACTGGAAGCAGACTCCTACCTTAACAAACAGTTTACAATTCAAGTAATTGGCTGGGATTATGAGCAAGCAATGCAAAAAGGGTCAGACCATAGAATCTTACTTTGGTGACAAAGAAGATCAAGGCACACAACCAGAAGAAGACAACACAGTCAAAGCTCCCAGAAAGCCTCCAAGAAAAATATGAATTGGTCCCAGGCCATGGAAGAGCTCAAAAAGGATTTTGAGAAGCAAGTAAAAGAAGTAGAGGAAAAACTGAGAGTGATGCAAGAAAATCATGAAAAACAAGTCAACAGCTTGCTAAAGGACACCCAAAAAAATACTGAAGAAAATAACACCTTAAAAAAATAGCCTAAGCCAAATGGCAAAAGAGGTGCAAAAGGTCAATGAGGAGAAGAATGCCTTAAAAAGCAAAATTGGCCAAATGGAAAAGGAAGTCCAAAAGTTTATTGAAGAAAATATTTCCTTAAAAATTAGAATGGAGCAATTGGAAGCTAGTGACTTTATGAGAAATTAAGACACTGTAAAACAAATCCAAAAGAATGAAAAAAAAAGTCTATTTTTTGCCATGTCCACAGAGACAAGGCATTGGAATCATTGGAGAGAACCAGGGTTCTATCTGCTGGTCAGTCAGTCAGTCAGTCTACAACTGTCAGTATGTCAGAGATACTCAGCAGTTTTGTTTTTTAAACAAAATTCCTGAATTTCATAATGTAAGTGATTTTAAGTTTTATTTTCATTGTAATTTTATAAGAGTTAAAGCTTGGGGGTGAGAGCAAGCATTTTTGTGTTTGTTATGCAACCGATTCTAATAATGCTTTCTGTTTTTTTCCTGGATTTTTACACTGGTCAAGGTGAATTTTGTTCCAATTAAGCATTTATGATATATCAAGTACTGTGTAAAGCACTGGGGATACAATTAAAATGCAACAAAACACAATCTCTGCCCTCAAGAAGCTTACAATCTAACAGGCTCACATTCTGAAACTTTTCAGGCAGACTCTTAATTTCCTGGTGCTCCTGACATTGAACTAGGGATGCTGTTGTCTGCTTCCCTTCTTCCCCACCTCTAACCTCTTTGCCATCAGTGGACAGACATGGGCTCTGAAGAGTTAGTGGAGGGTCAGTCTACTTTGTTAGAGTGTGTCACAGAACAATGGGTAGGTGTGGGTAGACTAGGTTGGTAATCAGAGCCCAAGCTTAAGGAAAGACTTGGGCATGCTGGGCTTACCAGGGAGGTGGAGGGGGTGGAGACAATGACCCTCTTCCCTTGTCTTCCTTCCTCTAGGGAGAAATTAAGATTCCATTAGTCAGTTCCTTCACTTCCCAGGTTTCCTTTGTTCCTTCTCTGCTTTTAACCAGCACTGAGAGTTTTTATTTCCCATTTAACTTTATGTTTTTATTATTAATTATTTATATTATACATTATTATATATTAAGTAATTAATATTATTAATGAGTTGTTAAATTAGGCAGTTAGATGGCACAGTCTGGCTAAAGCTAGAGTCCAAGTAAGGCATATCTGAGTTTAAATCCTGCCTTAGACACTTTCTGGGTGCATCGTGCTGTCATTTTGAGTGGGTATAGGCCCTGTAAACCCTCCCCCCCCAACTTCCTTGAACTTTCCCACATGGTCAAGTCTCTGGCATTTGCCTGAGGCATCAACGCATCCCAACCTTTGGTTAGGATCTAGAGCCCAAAAAGGAAAAATCCTGGACTTTCCCACAAGGCCAAATCTCTGAATTTTGCCTGAGGCTATAATCCCATCAACTGGCCTTCCCCATTCTCCCAACTCTGTTACCCTTAATCTAGCCTAGCCCTCCATTGTTTTACCTCCCTATGGCTCCAGGCCACTTCCCACCCCTAATCCTATCTAGGCTCCATTCTTTCTTGGCCACATGGTCCAGGTCCCTGGAATTCTATTACCTCATAAACTGCTTGGCCACTCCTAGATCCCTCCTGTAGTCTTTCTGTATGTATATAAAGCCCATCTTCTCATAAGATGCTCAGATTCTTAGAATCTAGCCAATAGCTCACTAATGTTCAGACTCCTTAAGAGTCTGCCCAATAATGATCTAATAAACCTTGTCTTTGGCTGAAAGAAGACTTGGGTCAAATTCTTTCAGGCAGGACCCATGTGTTGTGATTTTGGGGTCCCAGCACCCCTGAACTTCAACATTTGCACAGGTTGCTGAATTACCCAGAGGGAATGAGAGAGCCCCATTCATTGGGGAGGGGTGGGCAGAGAAAGCAGGAGACAATTTTCCCCTGAGCCTGGCTAGAAGTTTATGGAAGAGAGTGTGCTGATATTCTCATCCCTGAAGATTGGAGTCCCCTGGCACTTCTTATCTTTTCTTTTTGTAAAAGACTGTGAGCCAGAAAGTGCTAGCTATTATTTAAAAACTTGGATTTTAAAAAATTGGCTTAGATAAGGAGTTCTTAACCTTTATGGGCAGTGTTTCTGCTGAAGGCTCTGAACACCCTTCTTAGAGTCGTGGTTTTCTGCCTACATTTGTAACAAAAAGGAAATGTCAATTTTTAGTTAGAGGTTAGTAAAAATAAAGATGTAATTTTTTTTTCCTGTTTGAGGACTCTCCCGTGTGCATTTTAAGGACTCTTGGATTAGATAACATCTGAGTTCCCTTCTAGCTCTGGCATTCATTTATTCTCTTATTCTTTTCCCCTTCCCCACTCATTCCTAATTTCTCCCTCTTCTGCTTGCCAGTTCAGAATCTTGTCCCATCTCGTCCTGCCCTATCTATCTCACCCTTATCAGTACCCTGAGTAGAGATGGATGAATTAATTTCAAGAATGACACAAACTTAGTCCAGGAAGGGTTTGCTGCATGAGCTTTAATTGGGCTGGTGGGGAAACGTAGGATAAGGTGGGGAAAGACTTCACTCCTTTGAACGACGAATATCGAGGCAGACACCATAGTTTGTGTTAGTGAGGGAGCCCACGATGCTCCTGTCCCCTTCACAGGTCAATCCCCTCTCACAGGGACACTTGTAGTAAACTCCATAGAGCGACTGGGGGGAGACATAAGAATGGTCACATCACTGGACCCACCTGGGTTCAGTCACTGGTCTAACAGTTTCTGGATTGAGGCTGCTGCTCCCCACTCCTCTGACATGGGGGCTGCAGAGGGAAGGTAGAATCCATAGGAAACTCCCCTCCCTCCAAAAAAACCCTTTGTTCTATATCTCAACTTCGATAGCATGTAGTATAGGGAAGATAGCAACATATTTGGAGTTAGAGATCCTGTTTTTGACTGTGGGACCTTGGATACTTCATGTCCTTGATCTTGGCTTCTGGTTCCTCATCTATAAAACAAGTAGGTTGGATTAAATAATCCTTAGTCCCTCATAGCCTTAATCCTGAGCCACTGCTCCCTGATGAGAGAACTAGGATGGTGAGACATCTCAGGGTATCTCTAGCTGTTTCTAGATAGGATTCCTGCCTCCCTTCTCCCATCCCCACCACCTCCTTTTGTCCCATTTAAAACCAGCAAAACTCACAAGATCATAGATTCAGAGTTGGAAGGCTTTAGAGGTCCCTTCATTTTACAGATGAGGAAACTGAGGCCCAGAGAAGTTAATTTATTTGCCCAACGTCACACAGAAAGGAAATGACAGGAGAATTTGAACTCATGCCTTCTGACCTCAAAGCCAATGCTTTCTCCACCGTACCACATTGTCTTTCCACAGGAGACAGTATCTTGGATGCCCTGAGTGATGGTCTCTTATCTTCAAGAGTAGGGTAGCTAGGTGGTGCCACAGTGCACCAAGTGCTGGGCTTGGAGTCAGGAAGACTCATCTTCCTGAGTTCAAATCTTTCCTTAGATATATCCTAGCTGTGTGATCCTGGGTAAGTCACTTAACTCTGTTTGCCTCAGTTCCTTATCTGTAAAATGAGCTGGAGAAGGAGATGGCAAACCACTCCACTATCTTTGCCAAGAAAACCCCAAATGGGGTCAGGAAGAGTCTGACACGACTGAAAACCAACTAAACAACAATTATCAGAAGTGCAGTGGGAAAGTCACCAGATTAGGAGTCAGAAGATTTTAGTCCTATTCTATCTCTGTCACATCCAGAAACAAAGCATGTCTCAAGGGTCAGTGTGATATAATGGAGGAAGTACTAAATTGGAGTTCAAAGACCTGAGTTCTAATTCTAGCTTTGCCACTTCATACCCATATGACTGTGGGTAAATTATTTCCCCCTCTCTAGGCTTTATTGTTGGACTAAATAACTAAGAGCCCTTGTAGTTCTAAATCTGATTCTAATGTGCCTCTGATAGTCACAAGGTCATGGATTTAGATCTGGAAGGGACATTGGAGGTCATTGAGTCCAAACTCCCCATTTTACAGGTGAGGACACTGAGGCTTAAGGAGATGAGATGATTCTTATCTAAGGTCACAGAGGTAGTAAGTGTGTCTGAAGCAGGATCCAAACTCAGGTCTTCTCGGTTCAAAGTCTAGTGCTCTCTCCACCCCACCACCTCTTGTGTGACCCCAGGCAAGTCAGTAACCTCCCTATCCCTCATTTTCTTCTTCGCTTAACTTCTCTGGGCTTCACTTTCTTCATGTGTAAAAGGCAGAGATTGAATTGGATGACCCTTAACCCTCCCCACTTCGATTCTATGATCCTGTGATTCTTGTTGGTTCTAGATGGGAGGAGAAGAGGGAGTGGGGAAGGGAGTCCTTTCCAAAGCAAAGGGGATGAACTCAATAGCTACTGAGGTCACTTCTAGCCCTAGATTTCTGATCGTACAATGAGGCTCTTCAGAACAGGTGTAAGCAAAAACTACAGTAGCAGCAGCAATTAGAAAGTTAGGGGACCTGAGTTCCAGTCCTGGTTCTGTCAATGAACTGCATGACCCTGGGTAACTAATTTTCCCTCTCTAATCCTGTTTCTTATTTTATTTGTTTGTTTGCTTATTTATCTATTAATTAATTAATTTATTTATTTATTCATCCATCCATCCATCTATCTATCTATCCATCTACCTATCTCTCTGTCTACTTTTGTTTCTTCCTCTTTTAAGTCATAAGGTAAGACTAAGTGATTCTCCTTTTTGGGAAAGAACCTTCCCATTTGGTGGCCCCAGTTCCAGCTGCACTCCTTCCACTCTTTTCTTCCCTTTTTCCACCCTTGCCCCAAATCCTGCTTGGCTACTTACGCTGGCAGAACATTCACTGTTCTCAGGGGCTTTGTCAGCACATCGGGTCAAGCTCAGGACGCTATCATGATGACAGCAACTGCTTTTACACTGGAGACTATTCATGCACAGCTCCCCATTTTCCTGTGAGAAAGCACAGCCCGCCCCACCCCCTCCAAGTCGATCTGGTGAAAGTCCCCAAGGGTGGCCTTCCAGGTTCTTGGGTGAAGCCTTTTGACTGAGTCCAAGTTTTACAGAACAAATCCTTTTATTAAGGGGATTTATTCTGTGAAGTTTGGATTCAGTCAAAGGGCTATACTTGAGGACCTAGAGGGCCACACGGTCCTTATCCCTGAACTAGATATAGACAGGGATATGTTGGTAAATTAATAATTAGGATCTCCTAAGAAAAAAGAAATTATGCACACACACACACACTTTTAAATTCTGTCTGCATGATTGATATTTTCTCAAGTCTTAGCTACTCTTGATCAATGATCCAAGACAGTTCTAAAGGATGGAAAATGCAATCCACCTCTGGAAAGAGAACTGATGAATTCTGAGTACAGACTGATATTTTGCATCTCTGCACAGGTATTGTGGGTATCATTATTGCTTGCCTTCTCAATGGCAGGAGAAGGAGTTGGAGGGAAAGAAGAATCTGAAACTCAAACAATTTTTAAACATTAATATTATAAATAAATAAAAAGACTTTAAAAAAGAGATGTTTTTTGTAAGTCTAGACGATCAGCAAAACAATAATTCCAGTCTTGATTTGCAGCATTTGCTGATTTCCAAGGTCTAAATGCTCACTATGAAAATTTAACAATCGGCTCTCATAAGCTGGTTAGAGCTGCCTCCAACACATTCCTGCTTCCATGTTCTCTAAAGTTTCTTCCAGGTATAGAGTCTATGACTCAATAATTCTCTTCTCCTTTGATTGCCTGTCCTCAGAATACATGCCTAACCTGCAATGATGGAGACCTAATTCCTTCCCTTGCTTCACTTCCCCTCACTCTCCTTTAGGTCTGGATCATTTATGTGCCATCTAGGACTTCAAGATTAGAAGCTCTGGAAGCCAGGTCTTGGTTCAATATTCTGCGCTTCTCTGCAGGCATCCTGGTCCATTACTGTCATATGTGGGTCAGTTCTTTTGTACTTTTTAATGCCTCAGGCTCCTTTATGTGGAATCTGGAGGTTACACTTGGCCCTACCCATAGGCAGGATTTGTGGCTGCTGCTGATGTATAGTTTGAGCCCCATTTCCCAACTCCTAAACAAATGCCATATTAGCTCTTTAATGAGCTTCTGAAGAACTATGCATTTTGACTGGTTTAAGGATGGGGTAACTCATTAACCTATTAGTACCCATTTATACATTGACCTGACCAGGATGGGGTTATCAGTTTACCAGCTAGCTGGTACTTTGGAAAGAAAACAGAAGAAGTATAGACAAGCTAAGTTTTGTTGGGGAGAAAGGGAGAGAAATCTGAAGCATGAGACCCTGCCTCAGGGGGTAACCCAGTTTGGGGTCCTGGATACTCCCTGGGCAGCTGGGGGAAGAGTATGGTGCTGGAAACTAAAGTTTGTCTGGAGGAGAATTATACCTGCTGAGTGGGCTGGATAAGGTGCTGTGGTACAGCTTAGAGACATGGTAAATCAGTGGGATTTGTGTTAAGTACTCAACAAGGCAAATTAGTACAGTGTTGATTCTTGCTAAGGCTGTGTGCTGCAGAATACATGTTTGGTAAAGCACCATGGTTCAGGGCAGGCAGCATGAGGCAGTGTAGATGCTTGCTATATCCATGGGATACAATGTAGACAACTTGGTAAGGCCACGGGCTACAGTGTTTTACCTGATAAGGCATTGTGGTATTGTGGGAGAAGGGATCTGGACGTAAGGGGGCCTGAGTTTTAACCCTGGTTCTGTCACTGATAGATTGTGAGATCTTGAACATGTTATCTCCCTTGTTCTGGTCCTCACTTTACTCAATGAGGGTCTTGGATGAGAGGTAGGTACTACCTGGGTTCTTCTGCCCAGAGATGAGAGGCATTTGGTGAGGGAACAGGGTAGCCCAGGCTTAATCAGGAAACCTACCTTTTGGGACTCAGAGGATGCAGGAAAGTTTCTCTTACCAGGTTGATGATCAGGCCCCGAGGGTTGGGGACTGCATAGGCTACAGCCAGGGAGATCAGCAACAGGATAAGAACCTTCTCCATGGTAAGTGGTGATGCCGGGGAACACGGAGGGACTGATGGAGCTGAAGAGTCAGGAGACTAGGTCTACAGGCACCCTGTAATTCTGATAAATCCCCTTCCTCTTTCCCTCGTGACCAGCCTCCCCCAATCCCATGGTGTCTCTTATCTTCTGGCATACATGTACACAATAGGCTACAGATAATCTAAGCAGACCAAGAACTCCCATTGCCTGTGGAACCATATGGCCTCTTCCCAGTTAGCCTGTGGACCCTCTGACACTGCCCCACCCCAATCTCCCAGTTGTCCTTGAGAAGATGTTGTCCAACCTCCTATCCCAGAGTAGGGCCCCCAGCTTAACATCTGAAGTAGACCAAGAATTTTAGAATCATAGATGTCTCCCATTCCAGGAACACAGAATGCACAGTAGACAGATCTGGAGTTGAGAAGACCTAAGTTCAAATCCTACCTCAGACAGTTACTAGCTGTCTGACTATGGGTAAGTCTCTTACCCTTTGCTAGCCTCAGTTTCCTCATCTGTAAAACAGGTGACAATAGAGATAACAAACAGAGATGCCTTCATAAAATGTAAGTGTTGAATTTGTATGGCCCTTAAGGCCCTCTCCTAGCTCCAAGACTACGATTTGACATTAGGGGCTTCACATACTGTTCAGAGCCAGGAGGAGAACTGCTCTCCACTTAGGGGCCATCCTTTCACAAGGCTCTTGTAAGGTTCAGATGAGATAACACAGGTAAAGAGCTTTATAAATCCTAAAGAATATTTAAAAGCCAGCTATTTATTATTATTATTATTATTATTATTATTATTATTATTATTATTATTATTAATCACCTTCTGTAGGAGACCCTTCTCATTTCTTCTCCCCAAGTCCCCCTCCCACCAAACACACAATGCTAATGCCTTCCTCTTGAGATTACGTTCCATCTACTCTGTAGAAATCATGAATATCCATTTTATAAATACCTGTTTTCATGTTGTCTCCCACACCAGAATGTGAATTCCTAGAGGACAGAGGCTATGTTTTTGTCCTTCTTTGTATCTGCATAGTACCTGACACATAGTAAATAGTAAACAATAATTAATAAATGCTTATTGGTTGACTGAAAGTATTTTAGGACTGCAAATTTCCTCCTCTGTATAATGAAGAACTTAGCCAAGATGGTGGCTGAGATTGCTTCTATGTCCTAGTCAATGAGCCTATGAGCCTATACTCATCCTTGATTCCTGGTTTCCAGGGTCCCTCATTTCTTTGGGTATAACTTAAGTCTTAACTGCCTAAATGGGGGTTCTTCACTTATCCACTCCACCAACAGAATTTTCCAATCCTCCTTCTTGGGTCTCCTACAGGGCCCTTCAGTCTTGTGGCAGAAGGCTAGTTAATCTCATCAACCAAATCCTGCCATGGTGTTAATGGGTCTTTAGGTAACCCACTCCCAAAAAACAGTCACAGTTTCACTGGGGCCTCTTGAAGACCAAGCCTTAACCCAGCAGTAGAATTTTAATGGAGGGATTTTAGTCCTTGTGGGCTAAATACTATCTCCTAGGATAGTAGGGGAGGGTGGTCAGGGTAGATCCAGGTGTCCCAGTCCCTGATGGGTCTTACAGTTGCCATTAATACATTGCTTTGTTGTTTATAAAGTGATTTACTCACAAAATGCTTCCAAGATAGGAGGAACTTATATTATTATCAAAAAAACAGCCATAGGGACAGCTAGGTGGCACAATGGATAGAGCACCAGCCCTGGAGTCAGGAGGATCTGAGTTCAATATGGCCTCAGACACATAACACTCACTAGCTGTGTGACTTAACCCCAATTGCCTAGACAAAAAACAAACAAAAAACCAGTCATGAGGTGGGAGAGAGAGAGCCAGCCTTGAAGTTAAGAAGCCCTGGCTTCAAGCTCTACCTCTGATATCACAAAACATGTGTGATCTTGGGCAGGTCTACACTTGGCTATACTTTTCTTATTTGTAAAATGAGAGGGTTGGAGCAGATAGCCTTGGAGATTCCTTCCAGTTCCAAATCTATGACTCCGTGACCCATTTTATAAATAAAGAAACTGAGACTCAATGAGGTTCATTGGTTTGCCTAAGATCACACAGTTACTAAGTGTTAGAGTAAAGACTCAGACTCGTCTTATGATGTCCGTCAATAAACATTTATTAAGCACCTACTATGTGCCAGGCTCTATTCTGAGCACTGGAAATACAAAGGAAGGCAAAAAATAGTCCCTGCTTTCCAGGAGCTCATAGTCTAATGGGGGAGATGACATGCAAATAACTGTACAAACAAGATAGAGACAAATTAGATATAACCAACAGGGAAAAGACACAAGCATTCAAGGGGACCTCGAAAGGTTTCTTGTGGAAGGTGGGATTTTTTTTAGCTGAGATGTGAATGACTCCAGGGAAGCTGAGAGGCAGAGATGAGGAGGGACAGCATTTGAGGCATCAAGGACAACCAGTGAAAATTTCTGCTATATTTTGATTCAGAGGACTGCAGTTAAAATACTCACTTTGCTGTGTGGCCTTGGGCAAACGACTTAACCCCCATGGGCCTCAGTTTCCTCATCTGTACAATGGAGGTGGTAGTGATGGTGGTGGATGAAATGATCTCTGACCCCTTCTAGCTCTAAATCTACAATATTATGACTCTCAGTCAGGCATTCTTTCCATTACATCACAGTGCTATTGTCTCCCCACTCCCAAAACTCTCCTCTGAGTGTCTTCCTAAAGGGTCCCAGAACCTGGTATAGGCTGGGTCTTCAGTATAGGCTGAAGCAGGCAAACTCCACTGACTGTTTGCTGAAGCCTCTGGGCACTGGGAGCATAGCAGCTGCTGTTCCTTCTGTTTGTCCAGTCCTGGGAAATGCCCAGCTTTTCCTCAAGGTTCAAGTGCAAAAACTGATTAATAGGGGCACCTCTCTTATGTACACCCCATCTCTGCAGGTGTGAATGTCCTAAATCTGGCTACCTTCCCTACAGCCACCCACCCAACAAAATAAAAAGGAGATGTGTGTGTGTGTGTGTGTGTGTGTGTGTGTGTGTGTGAGAGAGAGAGAGAGAGAGAGAGAGAGAGAGAGAGAGAGAGAGAGAGATCTGGTCCAACCTCTTCATTTTATAGACAAGGAAACTGAGACCCAGGAAGATAAAATAATTTGTCCAAGATCACACAGGTCATACAGGTCAAACATTCTAGAATGTTTCTCTTTTTCTCTCCCTCTTTCCTCCTTCCATCTAGTCCTCTTTCTTTGTGTTTCTCTCCATTCCCAAGGTGTATATAACTCTATCTGTCTCCCTGTCTCTAGGGGTCACCCCTTCCATGTAGCTTGTCAGAAAAGGCTAGGAAAAGCCTTTAGGTGCCATCTTCTCCCACTCTGCCTCTCTCACTCTATTCTCCTTCTTTCTTCAGTCTCCACAAGTTACCAGCTTCACCAGATGGTGTTATTTTCTTTTAGCCTGCATGTTCACTTCCATCTTTCTGAAGGCTGGTGGGTGGAAAGAAAGATCATTGCATGGAGGAAGCTTTGGAAGGCCAGGGTCCATCATGCCCCATCTCCATTGTCACAAATGAGGGATTCTCCCTGGGATATCTGTGGAGGAGAGAAATGAACTCATCTTCCACCCCCTGGCCCCACCTCCTGTTCCCATTGGCTGCTCAGAAATTATTCTTTTCTGGGGCAGCTAGGTAGTACAATGGATAGAGTACCGGCCCTGGAGTCAGGAGGACCTGAGTTCAAATCTGGCCTCAGACACATAACACTTACTAGCTGTGTGACCCTGGACAAGTCACTTAACCCCAATTGCTTCACCAAAAACACACACACACACACACACACACACACAAACCTTGCCCCCAAAAAAGAAATTATTCTTTTCCTAACTCTGTTTACTTCTCTGTCCTCACTGGGAAGAAAATATTATCTTATAGGTTCATAAGATGTGTGTTTACAAATCCTTTTTTTGCTCACCTATTAAAAAAGGACCTCAAATAAGTGTCTTAGTCAGCAAACACTTGACTTACTTGTCAAGTGGAGAGATAATTGCAAGGGCAGCTAGATGGTGCAGTGGATAGAACACCGGCCCTGTATTCAGGAGGACCTTGGTTCAAATCTGGCCTCAGACACATAACATTTACTAGCTGTGTGACCTTGGGCAAATCACTTAACCCCCATTCCCCCCCAAATAAAAAGAAAAGAGATAATTGCAGCCAAGATCAATGCAGCTTTAGAATACAAACTCACTTATGAAGTTTCATGGAAAAGGATGGTGGAATATTATGAGCAGTATTTTCTCATCAAACAGAGAAGCTGTGTTTGGGATAAAAACCATCTTAAAAAAACTTTATGTGAAAATCTGGCAAGACAAAGTCATTCAGAAAGAATTTAATAAGGCTGAATGAATAAGGGAACTTGAAGAGGATGAATGAATAAGAATGAAACAAGAACAACAGAAAAAAGAAAGACGGAAAAGATCAGCAAGATTTTAAATGAACCGTTTCCTTTTTTTCTTTTTTAAAAAAGTTATTAATTTTATTCTGAACTTAAGAAATAAAACAAGCATTTGCATAATATAGTAGAATAGGAAAAAAAGATGATTGTACATGAACCTGCAAATCTATTATGTACAATTTGATATTCCTTTTAAATATATAATAAAGTTAACATGTAACTTTCTTTTTTCCCCTTTTTTCTTCTCCTATCCACCCCCACCCCAAGATGGCTACCATTATACACAAATATGTATATATGTGTAAAATCATTCTACAAATACATTTGTCAATTCTTTCTCTGGATGAAGAAAGCATCCTCCTTCATAGGTCCTTTGTAGTTAATTTGGTTATTTGTCATAGTCAAAATGACTTAATCAAATTTGTTCTTAAAACAATATTGTTGTTACAACGTTCTCTTGGTTCTGCTCATTTTGTTCTTCATTATTTTGTGCAAATTTATCCACATTTTTCTAAGATCATCAAGCTCATTATTTCTTTTTTTAAATTTTA